TGTTGATTTCTCGCAACTGGATAACTTCGTTCCACTATTGATGGAGATACACTACGCTTTCGACGACCATTTATCTGCGATTCATTTTTGCGATTATTCATACTACTAAAGAAACAATCAATCATAACTATTCAAGTTTTTTTTTTCAACACTTAATATCATATATTTCATGTGGTTTTCAGATATTAGACACTAGTTGTACAAAGAGAAATCGTCTTTTAATCAATAAGAATTCTCAAAAGCTTTTCATTAAACGTAAATAACATAAACCATTTGATGCAGATTATGAAAAAATATGTACAATGATTTCTTCCATAATTTATTTCAGCTCAAACATTGAAATGCAAGAAAGGAAGTAGAGTATGTTTGTTCTTCGACCTGGTTTTCTTTCTTATCCGATAGGTTGAATAGGAAAAATATTGTATCCTATCCAATATGAAAGTACGTTTAGAATGTCTAACAATATGTTCTCATATGTCTTATTATACATTAATCATTGATATATTATTTCGTCACTTACACACATTCACATAACCTACATAATGACAAAGGATACATTTTTAAGAATCTTAATTACGACTAGTAAAGCTGATAAATTTGTTAGGTATCTACAATGGAATTCGATCTTTTGTATTTTTCAAGCACTTTTATATTGCAAAAGCTTATTACATAAAAAAACCGAACTACATTGTAGATGTTTGTTGCGCTCACTGACGTCACTATGAGGTTCGTTGCTGTATACTACGTATTAGCTTACAAACTAATAAACATGTCTTCAAAACCTTTTTTATGTAGTAAAGTAGCTTCATTGGATTCCGCTTAATTTTTCTGTTTCAAACATGAAATATATCAACATACTTTTGCTTCGTCAGAAATGTTTGAAACTCTCTCATGAACGCTATTGACCATTCAATATCATCCATTGCTCGATGATTGACCGTTTCTTGACCTTTTTTAGCCAATTGTTTCTTAATATCCGCTTCAATCCAAGGTGCCCATCGTCTCATTACAGCTTGAAACGAGCTGACGTCGATAATTCGATAATGTAAATAATCGTGAGCTTTAGGCATTTGAAGTTGTAAAACTTGTTTATCGATATGAATTGAACTACCAGCTAGTGGACACATCTTTGCCGGACAATGAATTTTGAGTTTAGCTAATAATTCCTCTTCTACTTGTTCTTTTTTAAGTCTTGATTTCAAAACATCAGCAAATAAATCATTTCCACCTTGTTCTCGATTTGCAAATGTATCCTGATGCCATTGACCAAGTCCATCTAATACGGATTGATTAAAATGAATAACCCAATTACCTTCAAAATATAAAAACATTAATCAGTTACTATTACAAAATTCTCAATAAAATCTTGTTCTGTGGAAGTCATATATATTTTTGAAGAAAGCATAGTGAATGTAAGTTTAGGGTGTGGGTAGGATGCGGGTGTGGATCAGTTCTTAGGCTACACCCACACTCACATCCACACCCAACCAACAGTCATAATAACATCTCTACTTCCTACAACTTTCCAATTGTTTTCTTTTGACTTTACCTAAAAATGATCTGTATGGAAATAGAAGATGCTTTACCTCGGTCTAATTCTCGAAGATCCTTGTCGGTAATAATAACAGCACATTCTAAAATTTCAGGTTCTTCAATAGATGTCATCTCTAAATCAATCCATACAATATTCATTGATTTTCCTTTATCTGCATCAGACAACCATGTCGAAACATCTTCGGTCTGTATTTCAGTGGCACCAAACTGTTTCAAAAGATCACACATAAATCGATCTTTATTCGCCGAAGCCACTTGTAAAGGTGTGAGACCATCTGAAGTACGTCTAACATTTACATCGAATTGCCATTCTGTAAGAACATGACGAATTACATCATCTAATTTTTTTTCAACTAATTCGTGCAATAAAGAATTTTTGTTATTCGATAAATTTCGCCATTTTTCTAAGTTTAAAGTTCCATACTTTTTGGCAAGATCATCAAATCGTCTAATGATACTATTTTGATTTTCATCTCCAAGTGAAAGAAGTTTTAATAATTCTCTATTGAGTTGCTCCATCGCCATGTTGTTGATGTTATAGTCAGTTGAAAAGAAAAAAAATGAAACGCAGTATAAAACAACTGTTTGTTAACCTTCGTCGGAAAGAAATAAAAAAGACTCATCGTCGATGAAAACTGCTTTCTCTGCTGGTTAATATGTTTCATAGGTAAAAAAAATCGACAGAAAGAGTGTAGGCGACGACAAGAAAAGAAAAACAACGCATGGCGACGTTCTTGAGAATCATAATCTATTACAACATACAGAACTGTAACTGAAGAAATTACGGAAAATTCCATTTTTTCCTCAGCTTCTGTAGTTTTATGTGGAAATATGTAAACATATTGTTTGTTTGGTAAATAAATCTTAGAATAATATGAAAGATTGATTGATATTACTTTTTATTCTTATATAGTATCAAATATTTTATTGAGTCTAGATCAATAGAACTTTGCTTTATTTTCTTTGAAAGATAGTTATAAAATCTTTACATGAATCATCATCATCATTTTGTTTTATATATGATTATAACCATGGGATTGCTTTATATTTATTTTTCTTTTCTTTCTTAACTGCGAGCAAACAGTAAGTCAACAACGACAAGATTAAGTTATCTCTTTTGCTTTATATATAATTGATACAAATGTTCGTCAATTCAATAGAGAATTATTTTCAAGAATTAATTACTATTTTTGCACATATTTACATGACTTTATAATTTGATTTCAATTGTTTCAAGACAGATTCTGATCGATTGCAGTCGCAATTTAAGTGTTGAAGTCCGTCATATCTCCCTTGCAATGATGTATCTCTATCATAGTTAATTCTAATGTTTGCAAGTGAACGATCAATCAATAAAGATTTTCACTAACAATAATATTCTTTTTACATCACCAATGCGCCAACGAACAATGTCTACTTCCATATGAATAGGGAGTCAATATTTATTTGAGACTCGATTATCAATAGCACGAAACACTTCTGCTTCAATCTTTGAATAGACTTGGAGTAAGTTTCAACGAGCTGAGAGTCCGAAACATCAAGTGTCATTTAAGTCTTTCAAATCAATAACACTAACCGTTTTAATTGAGACAAGTATTGTTTCAACAATTGAATGGCTTATCGCCATCACTTTGATATACTGATGGTTTCATGTGACGATCGTTGTTTTTTACTTTTTCTCTGTTAGTGTGCTTCACAATTGAGTTAGAGTTTGCTATATTGTTTCAAGAGTTTTTTTTCAAGAAGTTTTACTGTGAAAACTCACTTTTAGCTTTCGAACAATGTACAATATACATATTGGATTTACAATGATAAAATAAGGAGAAAAGCCTTACGCTCAATAAATTTTTGATGTTTCGTTTCAAAAACGACGAACTCGCATTTAGAAAAACTTCGTTATTTGAATAGAAAACAAATCTTTCGTTCTAATTCGATTCTCAGTTAAATAATGGTTATCGACACATTTTTGCAATGTCTTTAATCCTTGAACACACATTTCATGAGTTTTCAGTTGAAAATCAGCTTGGAAACCAATTAACATACATTTGAATTCCATTTGCTACACCATTACCTCCTCTGTATAGCCAATAATTGGTGTTGTATGTCGTACCAATAACGGTAGTAAATGATTGTTGGAGAAATTGTAGGTTGCTAGTGTCCGCACATGCGTTGTTGTAGCACCAACCGGTGCTGTTTAAGCAACTCGAAGATTGATGTATCGACCCAGTACAAGTTCCACCGCATGAAGATACTTCCCAACCACTTGAAGCACCACTTTCGAAATTTGAGTTGACAATCAAATTCGTTGATGGACTACTACTAGCTGCTATAGTAACATTATCGACATACCAATCTCTATTAGTGTTGGCTGTAGCAGAGGTAATGCGAAGAATAGTGGTAGTCGATGTTGCTACGAAGGAACCACTATATAGTGTCCACACGAGTGGTGGAGAACTTGTAAGTGATAGAAGCAGTCCGTTGCTGCTATAATTACAGGGAATGGCTAAAATAAAATAAGAAAACTTGCCCTCATCTTCTACTTGAAACAAGTTAATCAATGAGTATTATTGTCCTTGCATACGAAACTGACTCGTTCAATATTCCATAACTTCCGCTACTTTTCCCGGAGTATATGTAGTTATTTTGTGGAGTTCGCATATATTTTCGAAGAAAATAGTGAATACAAGTTTTAAAACGAAGTTTTCGGATCCCCCCTCCCATTACAGACCTTAGGACCCCTCCCCCCATGGCTCAGTTGTCATTTGATCAAGTTATAACTTAAAAAAATAATCAATATCAGTTTTCTGTGAGTTAGTCGAAATATATAATAGTGTATTAAGATTTGCTGCTGTGAATACAATGGATATTTACAACAACCTTATTTTTCATTTGAGTCAATGCTTATAATGATAACAATGTTAAATCAAAAAAACAAAACACGAAAATGAAAAATAAGGAGCGAATAGCAACAATGCAAATCAAAAATAGGACGCTCGTAAAAAAAGGAAAAAATTTCTGTTCGAAATGCGAAAATATATAAGACAAATCTCTATTTTGCTGATCTATTATCTTCGGACAGAACTATAGTCTATGAGAGATTTTCACTTCGTCGATTTTCTATTAGTTTAATGAGGTTAAAGAACATTTGAGCATCAAAGGAGCTGCGCTAACAAGTTTTTCTTCTTGATTCATATACTCCCATGTGTATTTTTTTCCTTTTCGAAAAGTGTCACGAATAGGAATGATATTTTATCTTTTTTACACTACTAAAGAAGTAATCTCGTATTTACTTATTTAATAAAGATTAAAAATTCTATACATCCTTATTTACTAGTACAGGTACATGCAATATCTACTCATTTACTAGTAAACAAGTTAATATCATTAGAGTATAGGCTAATGATTAAAATTTTTATTCACTCGATCATATTGGTATCGCCATCAAGGAAAGTAAATGTATTGTCTGTAAACATAAACTCATGTTGCAAAGACTGAATTTCGTGTTTTTGATTAGTAATCAAAAATCAGCGTATACATACACAGAAGTAAGTAATTTCCCAGGCTCGACATTCGGGTGATGGTATTTTTTGCAAAATTTTACTTCTAATCATCGGATACAAACCATCCAAAAGTGCAATATTCTTTGTTCCGAATTACACATGGCCACAGAAATCTTTTCCTTTTATTTACTTCAAGAGACTGAACGTATTACAGTACTGGCAAAAAGTTCTGTGACACTTTCAATTTCTTTTATAATATCACTCTTTTTTTCCAATTTTAGATAGCACCATTGGAAAGAGTATAAAACTGAGCATAATTGATATCCTTTTAGTTTTGAAATCATAGGATAGACATATTTTCTTGAAGGGTGCTTTTATGCAGAAATCCTAGATATTTACTTAAAACTTACTAAGAACTCACTGTGGACGGTGACATATAGCTTCTTTTGCAGATCCATTGTGTAGAGGAACTTCAATTCTACAAGATGAGATGTTTTGTAGCCATGTGACATGTAAAGTAAATGAGTTATTCAACTTTATAATAGAGAAACTATTTTTATTCACATTCTCAATTGAAAATAGTTTAAATATATTGAGATTTTGAAAATCTCCTGTATAACACCGTATAACGCATTTATTTTACATGTCACATGGCTAAAAAACATCTCATCTTGTAGAATTGAAGTTCCTCTACAGCATGCATCGGAAAGAGAAGCTATATGTCACTGTCCACGGTAAGTTCTTAGTAAGTTTTAAGTAAATATCTAGGATTTCTGCAAAATCGCATCTTTCAAGAAAATACGTATATCCTATGATTTCAAAACTAATAGAATATCACTTATGCTCAGTTTTTTATGCTCTTCCCAATGGTGCTATCTAAAGTTGGAAGAAAGAGTGATATTATAAAAGTCGAAAATGTCACGGAACTTTTTGCCACAATTGCATAAGTTTCTGTAAACATCTTGATATAATAAAAACACTATATGTATCTGTTTTCTCGACTTAATTTCATTATAAGACTATCAGTTCATCAATTAGAATAAGAAACATAAAAGAAAAAGAGACATAGATGAATATTTTCACAATACATCAATTTGACTGATGAGGTAATAGAACAATTGAAGAGATATACAGAAGCAAACAGAAGAGGATAATAAAAATGAACGACGGCGACTGTTATCAGTATTATTCATAAATTGTGTTTGGCCAGAAAGGAAAACTATGCATGTTAAAGTGCATCATTAGTCGAATGAATAGGTTACATGTATATATATATTAGATTTTATTGAAAACAAAGCAACTTATAGAGAAGAATGTTTTCTGTTCAAAAATAATTTCTTCGAAATTTTTTCCTTTCGTATCAGTCTAATGCATTGTTCTGTGCTATTGTCATATGAAAGTAGCATGTCTGATAAAATGTCTCAGTTCTTTTTTTCTGATGCAGCTTGTATAATATACCGGAAAAATATGATCTTTTCTTGCCATTTATAGTGCTCATGTTGTACTGATAATTTCTTATCGTTTGGGTTATATATCTAGTATGGAATAAATATAATCTTGTGTCTTCGTTAAATATTTTGCTCAAATGTACTTTTGTCAAACTTATACATTTACTGCAATTCTTACTTGCTATTTGAAACGAGAAAAGAAAATATCATTGATGAACTTTTATAAAGTTGAATCGATCCAGAACTATAGAGAATTCATCACGGCCTTCAATTACGAATATGATGCTTTCTCAATCTAAGTCTACATTGGACATAGAGAGCACGTGCAATTCTAGTGGCCTTCATAAAATCATCATAAGATTTTCTGTAAATGTGTCTTAAAATAGTATAATTTTTAATATGTTAATTCATATTTTCATCAGGCGTCCTTACCCCTTGGAGTTTGCACAATATGGGATGTGCATATTGACAAGTCGGAAAAATCGAAATACGATACCAAAAGTATCAAGTGGCAGTTATAATAAAGAAATAAGTTTGATAGAGATACGTTTTGAGAAAAAGATTTTACAAAGACGTTTAACTATTTTGGTTTCGGACAAGATATATAACGTAATCAACAACAAATCATTAGCATTACATGAGTGGTAAATTTTTGTGTGTGATGTCACGAAACATTTGTCTATATATTAAGAAAGTTTCATTGTATAAAAAGGAATTCCCATGTCATGATAAACGATCGAAAACTGCTGCTTACTCCTGTTTATTTCGCTTGATTTTTTTTTACACATCACTGCATGAAGTTTTTTTCAATTCTTAGAAAAATATCATATATCACCTGGAACCGCTTCTCCTTACTAGGTATGTGGCACCTCACAGTTCTATGAACTGATTCTTTTTTAAGACTAAGTTCAGTAACTAACTCTTTTTCTTTTGAGAACGGATTCCAGTGACCAGTTCTTTTCATATGAACTCAATTTACTAAAAATATGAATGTAGTAATGCTTTCCCGTACTTGTTTCAGTTGCCGAAAAAAGAACTGATTACTATAGTTAGCTCTCAAAATAGAACACGCTCATAGAAGTGGAAGATGTCACACGTCTAGAACTGATCTGTTTGAACACTTCTAGTTCTTTTCAAAAAACTAAATGAATGATACCAGTTCAGTTCTTTGTTCGTGAATTGTCACAGATCTACTTCTTACTATTGTAAGTGCGTTCAAGCCATTTATATTGCTCACATTGACTGTTTTTGCTTAGCTTTTGAATTTAATCATTTATGGAGGCTAACATGAAAAAATAGTCATTAGTTCGAAGACTTAACTAATATGAAAAAGTGTGGCACCCACTGGCATAATATACAACACCACATCCAAATCGACTTTTTTCAGTCATAATCGACCTCTTCAAGACATATAATATGCATTAAATAGAAAAACGAAAACAAACTTGATCAAAAAAGAATAAACCACTCAATTCGTTCGGTTGCTATGGATCACGATAAATCTCTGAGTTTTGATGGAAAACTGACAACATAGGTTTTTATTCAAAATCCGAATCCAAATACTCACTGAACTTGTTTGCACAATAGCTCATTTTTTATACAAGAGACACATTATAAATACTGTGCTTTAAGGGCGTTCCCCTCTAAAATGAAATTTTTTTTCGAGCATCCAATTATGATGAAAATTCCAGTGGAGGTATATCTCGAGCTAGACACCTCACAGTAACAATTTCAGCTCGATACATTGAGTCTACGAAGAGTTAGTATAAGGTTATGGGTCAAAATTTAGGTTTTCGTGCGTCCCAAAGTTCTCCGCTATTTCGAATGCTAGAAAAGTCGGGTTGAATTTAAAATGTAGCCAATATGTAGCGCTACAACTTAACAGGGCCCGATTTTTCGATTCTCTCCTAGCTTGTGTTTTTAGAGAATTTCTCTGATGAAATATGAGAAATCCAATGGGGGATAGGTCCAGAAAAGTCAGTTTCTTATAAAAACTAATGAAGAAATCGAAAAATCCGACTCTGTTAAGTTGTAGCGCCACATATTGGCTACATTTTAAAACCAGTCCGACTTTTCTAGCGGTTAAAATGGTGGGAAAATCTGGGACGCATGGGAACGTAAAAATCAAAAATCCTATTTTGAGAAAAACTGAAAACTTTTTAGAAAAAATCTTATGTTCTCCTATGGGAGATCCAGAAAAGTCTGTGCAATATCCTTAAATCACATCATAAAATCAATAGACTATAGTGCATTCGAAAGTAGATACTTAGCTCTATCTAACGAACTATCAATCATAAATCGACAAACTTTACCAAAATTGACATTTTGGGGGGGGAGGGGGGGTCCTTAAGGCGTTTGTAAAAAATTCATTATTTTTCAGCATAGGACCGCTAAAAAGATACGTTTAAATGTGTGACAAATAAACGAATTAAACGCATAGAAATAAATGTATTCTATGAGTAATGTTTTGAGTAGTGTTAATAGGAGAGAAAAACACATTCTACTATAAACACTTTCAAATGATGTTCTTTTTGAGGACGTTAAAAGTTGAGCAAACGGATTGTGAATGAAAATAATTAGATGCGTCTGAACGCGTTCAAATAAAAATGATCGATCTAAACCAAGGGATAATTAGTAAAATAGTAGAATCGTAGCATTCTAGAGAATCCAAAATTCAGGATTCCCTTCAATTTCCTTAAATTCTAGGATTCCAAAATTTCGCTGTGTACTCCTTAGTCTAAACATGAAACGGTCTTATTCTCTTTTCGAGAAGTTAACTTTAAAATGCTGTTTTCTACAACCTTAAATCCGCGAGCAGATTTTTAATCATACAAAATTTATTGAAATCGATCAGATTTATAATCGACTGCAACGATTTCAAGTGAACTCCACACCTGAGATTAAAACTTCTCAGAAAAAAGCAGAGGTTTACTTTGTACAAAACGAGCACAAATCAATGGAAATTGCAAGAATATGTATATGTCTACTAATTCACGAAATTTCTTGACTTCGACTCTATTTTAATGATAGTAATTTCGAAGTGAACTTCTGTCATTGTCGAATCTTACATCTTCATGGATCCTACATGACAATCCATTGGCTAACACTAAGAAGAGGTTCAACATTTGAACAGCAACTTCCGGTGTTTTCATTCTGAAGCGATTAGAGAAAATCAGAAATGTTGTCGATTAAACGGGCCCGAACTAAGTCTGGAACGCAATCGACTTAGTTGAAGTTGGCGGGCTCCGTATTGCTTGCTTTATCGCACAGATCCGAAAAGCACAAAAAAAAATCAAAATTGATGGTTAGATGGCAAAAATGATGATGTGTAGCCTCCTAGAGGCTGAGATTATAGACCGGAATGGTCAAGAACTCTTCGAATATCAGTAGGAATGCTGTGAACGTGCTTACGTGTAGTGGTTGTTGTTGTTGATGTTGTTGTTGTTGTTTTTGTTGTTGTTGTTGTTGTGGTTGTTGTTGTTGTCGCTGTTGTGGTTGTTGTTGTTGTCGTTGTCGTTGTTGTTGTTGTTGTCGTTGTTGTTGTTGTTGTTGTCGTCGTTGTCGTTGTTGTTGTTGTCGTCGTTGTCGTTGTTGTTGTTGTTGTTGTTGTTACCGTAGTTGTTGTTGTTGTTGTTGCCGTTGTTGTTGATGTCGTTGATGTGGTTGTTGTTGTTTGTGTTGTGGTTGTTGTCGTTGATGTCGTTGTTGTCGTTGTTGTTGTTTCTGTCGTGGTTGTTGTTGTTGTTGTCGTTGTTGTTGTTGATGTAGTTGTTGTTGTTTCTGTTGTTGTTGTTGTCGTTGTTGTTGTTGATGTAGTTGTTGTCGTGGTTGTCGTTGTTGTCGTTGTTGTTGTTGATGTCGTTGATGTAGTTGTTGTTGTTTCTGTTGTGGTTGTTGATGTAGTTGTTGTTGTTTCTGTTGTTGTTGTTGTCGTTGTTGTTGTTGATGTAGTTGTTGTTGTTTCTGTTGTTGTTGTTGTCGTTGTTGTTGTAGTTGTTGTTGTTGTCGTGGTTGTCGTTGTTGTCGTTGTTGTTGTTGATGTCGTTGATGTAGTTGTTGTTGTTTCTGTTGTGGTTGTTGTTGTGGTTGTTGTAGTTGTAGTTGTTGTTGTTTCTGTTGTGGTTGTTGTCGTTGTTGTTGTAGTTGTTGTTGTTTCTGTTGTTGTAGTTGTAGTTGTTGTCGTTGTTGTTGTCGTTGTTGTTGTTGTTGTAGTTGTTGTCGTTGTGGTTGTTGTTGTGGTTGTTGTTGTCGTAGTTGTCGCCGTTGTTGTTGTTGTCGTCGTTGTTGTCGTCGTTGTTGTTGTTGTTGTTGTTTCTGTTGTTGTTGTTGTTGTTGTTGCTGTTGTTGTAGTTGTTGTTGTTGCTGTTGTCGTTGTTGTCATTGGTGTAGTAGTTGAGCTACCTTAAATGTGGAAGAAGGTTATTCTTGTTTGAGAATCAGGATATTTCTGATTGGATAAAAATATAATCTCAATAAGATTTGAGCTGTTAGATAAAAGTAGTCAGCAATACTTCGGAAATCGGTAGAAAGTCTGAACTTTCGTACTTGTTGTCGTTTTTGAATCAATCATCGAGCCTTTAACATAGAAAAGTGTTTTTTGATGCATTTCTATCAGGATGTTTCTGGTTTGATGAAAAATCACATTGCCTATTAAGAATTCAGGAGTGAGTACTTTCTTCATTCAGAATATAGGCTGAGCTGATTTGTTTTCAAAATCATTCTTTCCCTTATTCTGTTGTCTTCCTCAAATGTTAAAAGATTTATTGACGCGCATTTGTTCTATCATATTGGCGTGAGAAGTAACAGTTTCTCTCCTATTCTTTCAAGCAGATGAGTTTTCTTAAGCAGAGCCGAAAAACAAATTTTTTATCGTTCCCTAAATCTTTGAATTGTTTTGATGGATTAGAGACAATGTGACACATTGCTGAACATTTTTATTCTTACACATAGATCTTGCCGCTGTTTTATTGTGGATATGATTACATTTGTTTTCAGGAATCGAACACAATAGAAATGACACATCGAAGGTGTCCATGTAAACTCGAATAATCAGTCTACTGGTGTTTGATTAAAAAAATGCTTATCTTGCAAACACCTTCTTAGAGGCATCGTTCAGAAATTTCCAATTTCACGTATTAGTGAAGTCAAATTTTGAAAGTAACTTTTGCGGAAGCAGAAATACTACTTCTATGTTACGTTTACTCTTTTTACAAGTATTTTGCTTCATTTAAGTTACCACAAAAAAAAGAACTGCGAAGGTATTTTGCATAAAAAACTCGAGTATCATATGTAACTATCGACAATTCTTTTGTATTTTGAAAGCTAGTCCTAGAAACGAACTAATAAGAAAAGTACTCACCTAAAGTAAGAACAACAGCCGCAGCGATGGCAGCTGCTAAGAGAGCAAGGCATATAGAACAGAGGCATATTAAGCAAGGACGGGAACAAGCCATAGATCTTCTGCGTCTCTTTCGCCTAATATAAAAAGATGAAAATGAACGATTGACATCGGTTGAATAGCTACGGATGCTCGCCTTTTTACTTACTTAGCTTCATCCATTACATTATTCCTGAGGCGAGTAAAAACTCCAGCATTTTCATTAGAAACTTTATGTGGTTGTTGAATCGCCAAGTCTTTATCCAGCCACAAATCAGTACCAGATGGGCTTTTTATTGCCTGTAAAGAATGCATATATATTGTTTAAGAGTAGGTCAAAAAGTTCCTCTCGAGAATAACATATTCATGGATGAAAATAAGCAGCATCATCTAAAGTGTATTCCATGATTTTCTTGAGAACGAAAAACATCCACACAGTTATATCTGTTATGAGTAAATACGATCAAGCAGCAACAAAAGTTAAATTGATTACTCGTAAAGTAGTATACAAATATCAAAGAGATGAAACAACAAAAATTCCCGACATTTTTCAGATAGAAAAAAAAAGATTTGAAAAAAATTTAGAACGATATCCATACTTCAAGGATGAGAGCCATAATCGCCTGGCTAAACCGGTTGACATATTTTATCCGATCAATGTTCACTGATTTTCATCAACTCTGACAATGTGTTTTTTTTTAATCAGATAATTTTTGCTGAATCGTTTAGCGGCTAATTGGATCGAATCGATACGAAAATAGTCGATTGATTACGACTCTGCTACATATTAATCAGTACTAGGCAATTCTTATGTCCTTACCATGTATTTTTTGGATTTGCTATGAAACCTCTCACAGTTTCTTAGCTAGTTCACCATTGTCAGAAAATTTTCTCGAGCACTAAAAAGCTTCAGGAAATTTCTGTAATTAACATAGGGTATAAACTGCAAGCTGTTGAATTGGAAGACAAACAACCGCACATTGCTCAAGCGGTCAAATTTCGGAGAAATTTTGGTGATTTTCTGAGATGCTCATTTCATTTACAGAGAGTCTCAATGAGATGAAAGATATGACTAATGGTTGTATAAAAACTGATTGATTCGAGACATTTCAAAAATGTGAATGATACATTTCAGTAGCATTTCTTTGGCTGAAAAATAATGCTAGAGAAATGTCATAAAATCTTAGAATCCATCATGAAATAGAATGGAAATTTCTGGGCTAAAATGAGTCCATAATATAGAAACTGTACAGTACTCTCGTAAAAAAGTGCTTTAAATTGGCTCATGGGATGTAAACAAGCATACACGAGATATTCTTGCGGAGCCAACTTGATTGAAACTCTTCGTAGGTGAGGGTCGATCAGCTAGGTCAGTCTTATCTATTGTATTTTGCGGCGGTCCTACGCGAACACCACTGAAGCAATGTTTAGCATTCGATTCAATTTCATTTGAATTCTAAATAACAATCATCGTTTATCGTCATTCTCGATCAATTTTTCCCTTTACATTACTCGACGCCGACTTCAAGAATGATTCATCACGACTCTTGCGTTCATTTGAAATTCGTTCGACGCGCACGCCTTTGATCGAAGTTTTAGAAGGCGCGCGATCTTCTTTGGAAGTCTGAAGGCAAACATATTTTGACTAAAAACAAACTAGAAAATAGAAACTTGACATACTTCTAACGCCGTGTGTTGGCCAGATGAACGATTATGGATGGTAGCTTCCCTGGGCAGTCGTTCAACGCTCACCCCGCTAAAATTTCGTTGAGTAATGACTGGACTATTAAGTGATACCTAAAAATAGAATTCTGTAAGAGTTCATCCGCAATTCTTTAGATCTTTAGCTGCCGACGCAGCTAGATTGAAAAAAGAATTGTTTTCTTTATCTTATTTCGTTAAATGACGAGCTGCTTTGCTTGAGAGCGTGTGAGTATGGACGTGGGTGTGAGTGTCGGCGTCAGTATGGACGTCGATGTGAATAGATAGAAGAGCTAGACTCACACCCACACCTACAGTCACATACCCATTGGCCTAAGCCCTCTTAGGATTTTTCTTAGAATACTGTTTCTGACTTATGAACAAAATATCATTGAAAACGGCGTAGATCAGTTTGGAACCTTTCCCCGTTAGTGAGATTGATTCATGATAATTAGATGGGCACATCTAAGAAAGTTGTCAAGAGTTTTGGGATATATCAATCACAAGCCTGTATAAAAGAAATCAAGTCAACTAGAGCAGAGTTGTTACTCTAGTTTGAGTATGTTTTCTAATTGAAAACACAATAGAATAGGAACCATAAAATGTAAAAATTTTATTTTTAATCCTTTCGGAACGAGAAACGCTTATAAGCGCCCTAACCTTTCCATAAGAGTTAAGATCTCTTGATACACATTATGTATCTACTGGTTTAACTAATATTGCTCTACTCTTCGAGACGAATGACAGATACATGCGCTACTGATCTTGAAAGAGTTAATGAACTGAGTTAAGGTATGATAATCAATTGATTTCAACTAAATTCGCGTTTCATTATTTTGCTTCGAAAAATTAATTCCGTCTCGAAAGGGTTCATAGAATATTCTTTGTTATGAGTGATTCGATGGCCTGTTCAACCCATATAATACTAGATCCAGAATTAGAATCTGAACTTGGATCCCGACCTTCAGGTTCAATGCATACCTAATACGTGATTAATTATGGAAGCGTTTCTTGAGCTATATGAGCAATCATGACAGCAACCTAAACTTCGGCTATGTTTGGATTCGGATCTGAGTATGTCTGTACATTTTTGTCTTTTTTAGGATGCTTACAAACCTTCAAATATTGAATCATTCATTCAAATATGTATAGATCTACCATAGCCAAGTCGAAAATCCTTTCTTTCGGCTCACTTCTACTTCTTTTTAATAACTAACTGAAAATGATCACACTCAAGATCGAACCCAACTGTTCGAGTTCGGTACATGTCTAAACTAATCATGAGTCAATTATCGTCCTATTATGGATTATCACTTCTGCTCAACAATTATATGCAGTGAAAGAGACAGAAAATCAACGTTGAACTACAAAATGCAGCAAGTGACACAATTCCAATCCGTCTGTTCGCACACTGAGACTGTTTTGTGAATACAATTCACTTCTAATCTCGTAAAACACAATAACTAGGGCGGCAAGAAGTATCTCTAACAATCAGACTTGGTCGATCATATTTCATATTTCAATCCTCCAGAAATTGCACTGCTAGCTTTTCAACAAGCTTTTATTCGTCATTATGTATAATATCTTGGATCACATCGATATCGCGTTGAAAACATATTATTAGACAATCTATACACAATGAATGAATTCTTTCTGAGCCTTCTAGATCATCATACGATCAGATCTGTCACGTATATTTTCACGAAACAAAGATTACATACATTTGTTGCTGATTGAATGGTGGAATTGTTTGGGCTGGGCGATACTCTATTAAGTCGTTCCACCGAAATTCCACTGAAACGTTGTTGGGTGTTTGATGTACTGTCTGTTGATTCCTACAAGTACAATGAAGTTAAAAATATGTCGCAGATTCATGGTAAAAAACTTTTAAAACCACTGAGTCAGAGCTATTTCACATTCATAGTGGGCACTATACATGCTACAAGATTATAGCAGTCGTCAATTGATGTCCCGTTTTGTATGGGATAGACACGCTTGGGTGCCTCGTGTTGATTATATACTAAAGTAACTTACAAGAGAACCGTCCGAGGTGAATGACCAATTTGAGCTTATGCTTCTAACAGATATATGAAACATCAAAAATACTAAATCAAAATCTAGGCTCAACAGCAATTTGTCACTTCGGGTGACCAGATGAATGTAGCTGAGAAGACAATAGCTTGATAACAGAACTCCGAATAGTTTGATCTAGCCGCTAATAAAACTAAAGCAAGAACTATTGGACTCCTGTTCAGAACAGTTTAGACTAAGCACAAGAGCAATGGCTCATTGACATCAATGAG